CATCCTTCAGCTGGTGATTGGATAAACTGTGGTATGACCAAACAGTGAGATACTACCCAGCAATGCAGGGTCCAGTGATTCACGTAACAGCAGGGATGGGCGGGCATTTGCTAAGTGAAAGCTAGGCCATAAATCCCAACAAAAAAACCTACCCGTAACACTTCTATTTACATGATATTCTAGAAAAGGTAGATCTTAAAGGACAGAAAACAGAGCAGCGGTTGCTGGAGATGGGGAAGGTGTTGGTTGCAGAAGGGCGCCGGGAAGTTGCTGGAGAGATGGAAATGTTTGTTTCGATTGCGCTAGTGCTTACACAGCTGTGCATTTATGCAAGCCCCTAGAAGTGTATACCTAAAGTGGTGAATGTTACTGTATGCCAGTACGTGGATAAACCTGACCAGCAGTGGAAACAAAGCCAGAGGTGAGGAAAAGATTGTTTTAGTTCATTGCATTTAAAAAATGAACTTCTAGGTTAAAATAGTTTTTCTAAAGATACTGAAATTTATGAAGTGTGATTGAAAAATACTATATGTGTTTAAATAAAAGTTATCACAGCTAAAGACACATTGCTATTAATCCCCCTCAAAATACCCTCTCCAGTTGAAACCCTTATCGTACCATTCTTTCCACTTTCTGAGGCAGTTCTGGCAGTTAGTCCTTTCTTGCATTTTTAGTGGCATGGTTGTGGCTGCCTCGATGACCTGAATTGATTCAAAGTGTTTACCTTTCATGGTCACTTTGACCTTGGAGAAGAAAGAGAAGTCACTAGGTGCCAGAGGCAGTGAATAAGGTGGATCAAGGCACTTAACGTTTTTTATGAGCCTGCTTTTCTGTTGGGTAGCAGGGCAGAGGCATTCACCATATTTTTTAATCACGTCTCCTTAAGACAAGGGAGGACTTTTCCAGTGCTGCTCAGGAAGTGACCGAAATGATGGGGTAAGTATGTTAGAAGCAGAGGGGAGTGTTTAGCGTTAATACATCTTTCACTGTAGTAATTAAGAAATAATAATATAATTAAGCTTTGACTGTATTTTTTGATCACCCCTTGTGGAAACCTACATAAGCAGTTTTTATTAGTAATCAGCCATACAACACAGCAGGGAGGTAAGCTGGTAAAATTGTTTTTTCAAAAAGAGACAGATGTTTTTTTCTGTGGTTGAGGAACAAGAGAAGAAAGATAAGGAATTAAATGAAAGTTCCTTCAATTTTAAATGTTTGACAGGTATAAATTATAAAATATCACTTCCTTTACTGGCCATATTTTATTACATAATATAGTAAATTTATCTAGGGAGCTGGGGAGAATTTAACCCATATGAAAGAGTAAAGTATAAATGTGATCTGAACTCAGATCTTCAATTGTAGCTTGACTGTTTTTTTAAAGAGAATAAAAAAATTAGAAATGATACAGAATTTCAAAAAATAAGATGATAGGAATTCAACAATGGCTGTTACATTGCATATTGTTGTCTTCGAAGTAGTTGTTCACATTACCAGATACAAGCCTGTAAAATTGGTCAAAAAAAATTAAGCATTAACTGTTTCTTTCAATAAACCAACAGAAATTAGTAGTACAATTATCTTAGCTGTCTTGTGTGTATATATGTATATTTTTTTCCCCTTTTTTTCTCCTTTCCTTCCTCCCTGTTGTTCTTTGCTTTTGAGCAGTTTCTTTCCCTTTCACAATATCTGTCGGACTTCTCATCCAACTCTGTCCAGGGTGAACAGGTGCCCTGAACTAGGTGCCTGCAGGTGTATAAGAAAAGTAAGAATAAATCAGACCAAGAGAGCCAAAATCCTGCGATCAGGTGCTGGCAGCCTCTAGGACTCACTGACCCTCATTACCATCTTCAGTAACCTTTTATTCAGAATCAACCCACGAGGCAGCCCAGGAATCGGAGGATATCAGCTGTTTTAGCAAGGACAAGACAACTCAATTATCATAGGAATGCGACCTGACCAGTAAGCCATCATGTTATCTTCATTCACCCATATCTCAGCAAAGCATCTAGCATTGATGCTGGGGCTTACAATGCTTATGCTAGACTTCCTCCAGAACCCAACAATCTTGGCTTGGTCAGGCCTCAGGCAATACACAAAATAGTAACTAAAGCATGTCCTTCTCCACAAATATCTATTGTACCTTTCGGATTTTATTTACTTTTTCACCTTTTTACTGTTCTGGGCTCGCAACCAGAAACAAACCAAATGGTACTGACTGACAAATACCAAGACGCACGGACTGCCAATTGGAATTTAGGACGAGGCTTTATTCCTGGCCAGGGACTGACTGAGAGCCTCCACGCAGGGAAGGATCAGACCAGTCCCGATCCAGGGACGAGAGTAGTTTTTAAACCCTAAAATCGCACCCTGTTTGGCAAACACATGTCACATCTGTAACAGTGAGGGAGGGATTTTTTTACAGGAAGAACAGTACATTCCAAGAACCCGGGAGGGGTAGAGCATTTACAGGAAGAACAAAGAACAATACATTTTGGGAGTCTGAGAAGGGCAGGATGTTTACAACCGTATATTCCAGAAATGGTGAACATGAAGATCAAACTTCACGGCAGGGGTGGGAACAGGGAATTAAACTCGAACCTTTTATGTCTGTGGTGGGCTTTTACACTTACACTAGGGAGACAATATGGTGTTTACACATGCGGGTCTGATTTATTTCACTTATAAGTATGGTCTCTAGTTGCATCCATTTACCTATAAAAGCCTAAAGTTTATCTTTCTTTATAGCTGAGTAATACTCCATTGTATGAAAATATCACATCTTTTTTTCCCATTCCTCAGTTGATGGGCATGTGGGTTGTTTCCAAGATTTAGCTATGACAAATTATGCTGCTGTAAGCATGGGTGCACATATTATTGCTGTGATGTGATGTTTTCATTTCTGAGAAGATACCCAGAAGGGGAATAGCTGGGTTGAATGGGACCTCTAATCCTAGTTTTTTGAGGAATCTTTACACTGATTTCTACAGTGGTTGTACAAATTATAGCTTAACTGTTCTTGCTAACCAGCCTTGTAGCTTATCAAGTATTATAAATACTCTGAAGTAGAGCACTAATTACCTAATAAAGATCAAGTATAGTGGTTCATGAACACTTTTGTTTGTGAACAGTTTGGTTCACAAACAGAAGTATTCGGCAGAATTTTGTTTTTGTTTATAAACACCACATTGAATGGCAGATACAACTACAGCCATCTTTTCCACACAAACAGGAATGTGGCTATCCTTTCCAAAGTCATGAAACAAATTAAGTTTGTGAGCTGAGGTATCACTGTACTACATAGTTCCTTTTTAGTCAAAAGTTCATTTCCTTAAAGCAGAAAGGGTAGCTTTTATTGCATGATTTCTTCAAAAAGAAGAGCCTTATATTCCATAAAAGGGAAAAGATCTTGCAAAATCATTTGTAGCACATATGATACTGTAAAAATTTCTACTTTCAGAACAGCTTTTACAGATGCATAAGAAAAAGGCCATAACCCAGTAGAAAAATGCTTAGGATGTGACTAGGCAACTCACAAACAAAATGCAAAAAAATTCATACATATATGAAGAAAAATGTACCTTTATTAATAGTAAAGAACTACAAATTAAAACAATTTTTTTGTTTTGTTTTGATAGGATCTTGCTTTGTAGTTCAGGCTCACATCAAATTGTGATCCTCCTGCCTCAGCTTCCTGAGTGCTGGGATTACAGGTGTGCACCACCAATCCTGGCTTCAAAACACAATTAAAAAATAAAACACAATTTTAACATTTACTAGATTAGCAAAGATTATGAGTAACTGACTAGTCATTGATACAGAAAGTGTGAGGAGGTACACATCTCTGAATTCAAGCAGGAGAGTAAATTAGCACATCCTCTTCCAAGAGGAAATTGGAATTATCTGTGAAAAAAGTAAGCCTGAGCTGGGCATGGTGGCACACACTTATAATCCCAGCACTCCAGAGAGTGAGGGAGAAGGATTGCCGTGAGTTTGAGGCCAGCCTGGACTATATAATAAGCTCGAGGCCAGTCTGAATTACATAGTGGGACCCTGTCTCAAAAAAGCAAAAATAAATAAATAAAATATTTTAAGTCTATATACTCGTTAGCAATTCAGTTTCTAGGAATTTATTCTGTACAAATGACAATGCATAAACAAACATATTTACTGCAGAATTATTTGAAATGGTAGACTATTACTTTACTTTTTTGCGGGAAGTACCATGGATTGAACTCGGCCTCACTTGCCAGGTGAAATGGTAGACTTTCAACAACTCAAATGTACAGCAAATTGTGTAAATAAAATTATTGTCAATATGTATAAAGGAATACATTGCCATTATTAAAAAGCTAGAGGAGGTCCATAGACTAAGACAGCAGAGGGAATGTCATGAGAAAAGACAAGGTCTCTAGAAAGTATAGAGTGAGAGGTCCAGTTTGTTTTGAGACAGCCATGTAGCCCAGGCTGGCCTGGAACTCGTAGAGATCCTCCTGCCTCAGCCTCCTGAGTGCTGGGATTATAGGCGTGTGCCACCGCACCCGGCCGGAGGTCTGTTTTGGTTGGAGTCTAAAGAATGTGTTGAGTTAACCCTCATTAATGCTGGAAAAGCATGTTGAGGGTTGTATTGTGGCCAGGCCTTAAATATGGAATCAACCTACACATTTGTGGTCAATTTGCTAAAGTTGGCACAAACCACATGGTTATTCCCTGATGGCTTCAGATACACCCCATGTTGTGTGTAGTAAATACAGAATAAGGTGTCCATGTTTGGCTAATTTTGTTTCTCGTTTTTCTCCATTTTTCTATGTGGAAAACTTTTGAGACTATTCAAACTATAGGCACAGATATGTTAGTCCTTCAAAATAGGTATTTACAGTGCATATTTCTATTTGCCTTTATTATTTTAGTTTTTAAACAATTTTTATATTGTTTGCCATATAAAATTTTTAATGATTAATATTTTATTTCATATAAAATCATTTTTCAAATATTTGCAGGTAACGTGCAGAATATACAGAAGGAAGAAAGATGTTTAAGTTTGAGTATGCCTGTAATTACAGAAGAGGAAGAAGAAAATGACAGCTTTAATGAAGCAGGTACAGATGGAATTTCCTCAGACTAGTGAGGGGAAAGGCCACTCTTAGAGCATCCAGGGTTAAATCCAGAAAAGCATTATGATGGGCTGTGTGTTCTCCTGATCTTTTGCCTGTGGCGACTTGCTGAATTTTAGGAGTGTACCACTAATTACCGCGCTTAAGGTGAAGGAGGACGTTATCTAGGCCTGCAGACCCTCTGGGTGCTCTGCCGCTGTCTTTTTAAAGAGCCTCTTCCAGACTGCTGACTTGTGTCACCTTGATGGTGTGCTCTCTCCCTGCCTCTCTCCTAGGAATCTCTTTGCATTCTTCCTCCCTTCCTTCCTTCCTACCTACCTACCTTTTCCTCCCTCCCTCCCTCTCTCTCTCTCTCTCTTTTCCTCCTCAGCCTTCCGTTTGTGTTATTCTTTGGTGGGGAATATTTCCTTCCATCATATCTTCCCTCATTTTCATGTTTTGTGTCTTCTGTTAAAGATGACTACTTCAGTGGTGATTGTGGCATCTGCTGTGGTAGCCAGGATGTACGGAACAGAAAGATGGACGAGACTAGTGTTTGGGGCTACGCTTCAGGTTTTCTTGGGGTGAAGTTGAAATCTGAGTCACCATCTTGGCATCGGCCTGGATAACTTTCAGATCTGGCACATTAGGTCTGTGCCATTCACAGGGAGGGCTGCCCCATGAAACCACTTCAGAATAACTTATAATTACTAGTGGGGTTTAGGGTAACTAAGGGCTACTATATCAATAGATTGTAACCTCAGTGTGATTTAGAGCTTACTGTCTCGGTGGAGATAGTTTTAAAGTGCAGTATCATTTTATAGGAAAAAATGCGTATGTGCATGGCAGGTTTAAGATTTTTGGATCTTCGCTGAGAGGGCCTTCTTGCATTATACCAGGTCAAATGTCTGTATGGTTTAATGCATATTATTAACTAGGTATGGTCATGTAAGTGTCAGTATTTTTTACCATTGACAAACTTCTTAAATTTATGTTTAATTTAGAGTTCGCTGCACCCAAGAGGAAAAGAAATCGCTGAACAAAGAGCCTGATGTGGACTTTCAAACTTTGAGCTGACAGAAGAAAAGATTTATATTTTGTGAACTGAACAGGAAGACTGCCAGTATTAAAAATAATTATTCTGAAGAACTGAAAGTTATTTCTTTGAAACAAGAATACTTTAACGCAGTTAAGGAGAGGAAGAATTTTCTCTGAAATTTAATTTTTAAAATTTTCTTCTGTAAAATCTACATAAATGGAGACAATTACATTTAAAATGTAATAGAAAATAACCTTGTTGTCTGCAGATTATTACTATGTTCCATACTTTTTTGTGGTATTGTCTAAATACAGTGCTAGTAATATTGATGCTTCTATTTTATTTAAAATCTTTAAAGAGTAATATTTATTGTGTGTAAATGACTGTATCTACAATGTGGGAATTGATTTGTAGATGAATATTTACTACTTGTGCATTGAATGATTAAGTGCAATAAAAACTTTGCCTTTTTTGTTTTGTTTTTTGAATATATGCAGCTCGCATTGTCAGTACCTCTGTGGCAGACCATCTGCATAGCACGCTGTTGCACAGCCTGTTGTTCTTAGCTGCTTCCGCTTCTGTCACTTCAGTGGTGGAGACCCGACCCCTGCAGTTTAAGGAGGGGAGCTTTATCTTGGCTCACAGTTATCGCTCGAGGTGGAAAGTCCTGGGCAGGGCAGAAGCTGCTGACATCAGGGCAGCCAGAGAGCAGAGTGAGGGAGGAGGAGCTGGGGAGGAAGACACGCCTTCCAGGCCCCGCCCCAGTGACCCACCTCTTGTTAGCTGCCAACTTGTGATCCAGTCACCTTCCAAAGCCCGCCTCTGAGTGTGGAAAAGTTGGGGTCACCCTTGATCCTAAGCATAGTGCTGTCTCGGAGTTGGTTCTACTTTGTATGCTTTCCCAACATACTAAAGTGCGGGCTGAGGAGTAAGTCCAAATCTGCAAATGGCCTGGGTGAGAATGTGTCCTGGCTTACATACATAATCTTTTTAGATCAAAATACTAATGCTGACCTGAATAAAACTTTGATTTACTAAAATTCATATTATCACATTAGCTGCTAAAAGCAGTTGTTTCCCTTAATTTACTTCATATGTGTCTGGTACAAGATGGGGCAGTTTGCATAATGTGGGAGTTGCCCGGTGTTTCTGAGATTTAAGCATTCTAGAATTGGGGCACTGAGAGGTGTAGATCTACTATTGGCCTCTCATGTACCAGGTTATTGGCTAGAACTTGGCTGATCCATAGCTTTGATGAATATTACATGGCTAAGAGTGAGATGGAATCTCTTTTCTGTAATAGGGCTTACAAAATGCATGGTATTTCATTTTACAGTGAAGAAACCACCACAGTTTGCTAAGTGTCGATTACACTGGCAAAGCAAGTGTGTCTGGGTTGTAAACCCAGGGTTCAGGCCTGTAATTTCAGGGTCTTTTAAGATCAGCCAATAGAAATGGGACTCGAGAGGAAATATTTCTGAGAGTAAGCAGTAAAACTCCAAAATCTCTAAAACAACCAGGAAATGTTACTTTCAACGATTTGACTTGCGTAGTGCATCATGGGTTCCAGATGGTGTCTCATAGCTAGGTTTAATTTTTTAGGGAAAGCTTTATATTAGTTCTAGGCAACTGTTTACCAGCCCTGCTCCCAAATACTACCCAAGGGCAAACTTGAAAGTGAATCTTGTTAGTGAAGAGTTTTTATTATAATGACAGATTCATCAACTAATTTTTTTTTTTTTTTTTTTTTTTTGTCTTTTTGAGACAAGGTCGTGCTATGCAGTTCAGGCTGGCCTTGAGCTCAGTAACCCAGGCTGGTCTCCAACTCACAACAATCCTCCTGCCTCAGTCTCCTGTGTGCTGGGATTACAGACATGCGCCACCATACCTGGCATAAAGTCATTTTTTTAATGATTTAAATTCTCTGCATGGTTCAGTTAGTGGTTGGTTAATGGGTTGGTCATCATTACAGCTTGCATCTGGGTGTCTCCCATTGTTGAAAGCTTTGTGCCTCGCTGGTGGCAGGATTGGGAAATGGGGGAGGGGGTTGAAGTGAGCTTCAGTGGAGGAAGTACCTCACTGGAGATGTGTCCTAGAAGGGTGTTTCTTGTCCCTACCCTTCCTCACACTCTTTCTCTTTGCTTCCTGGATGCCATGAGGTGAGCAGCTTTCCTCTGCCACTACACTTCCACCACAATGGACTCCACCACAGGTCCAAAAGCTGCTGGGGCCATACGGCCATGGACTGTGCCCAGGTACTGAAACCAGGAGCCAAAAGAAAGCTTTCTTCCTTTCTAAGGTTGATTTCCTCAGGGTTTTTACACAGCAACAGAAAGCTGACTCACAGTCATCAACAACAATACATGTGGAATTAACAATAAAGTTTGCCTTTGTCCAGGAGGATCAGAAAGGCCCTTCTACTGTCAGCAGCAAACTGCCACATGCTCCAGGGAACATCTGTTGTTCACTGAGATGCTCTCTTCCTCCTACCCGACTACCATAAGCCCCACCACATCCAGATTTGCTGATGTGCTGGGTGGGCAGGGTTCCATCCTGACAAAAGATCTGTGACTTACTGTCACCAAGCAGCTCTTGCGTCTTCACAAGGATGCTTTCAGTGTGAGGTGCACAGGTAAGATTGAGCCACCACCACCCAGTACTGCTGTTCAGCAGAAGCCATGTACCCTGCCCTGAAGGTGGTGCACCTGTGCTGGGGCGACCACTTGGTCCTTTAAGCAACCTTGTGCACTCCTAATACCTCCATTACACATGTTTGAAACAAAATCTAAAGGAAAACAAAACCAAAACAATTGTTTCCAAAGGGTTTGAAGCTCCTGGACGGGCTCCTTGACCAGTGTAACTGCACTGCCTGGTGTCCTTTTAATGCTCCTGTATAGGAGATATCGCTACTCACTATTTGACTGACTGACGTGGCTAAGGAGAGAGCTAAAATCTTTCTGTCTGGAACTTGCTCAGTGCATAAAATGGAGACTTACAACAATAGTGGTTATTGGTTTAATTCTTTGTATTCTCTTTCATATGGATGATGGGGATTCTAGGAGATTCATAAGTCTGAGATAAGTGTGCATGGAGAAAGGAAATAAGAGTATTAAAGAAATGTCACCATCACAGTCTCAAGAAGTCTCACCATGCCTAAGCACTGTTTGTTGATGTCTTGAATATTTCAAGATTATTATGACTCCTTTAAAAATGGTGTTTGTAACTGGGTGTGATGGTGCACACCTGTGATCCCAGCACTAAGGAGGCTGGGGCAGGAAGATAGCTTTGAGTTTGAGACCCATCTGGGCTACATAGTGAGTTCAAGGCCAGCCTGAACTACATAGCAAAATGCTGTCTCAAAAAACTAAATAAGCTGTTTATAAAGTTGGTGGAGTTACAACACTTTTTTTTTTTCCTTCTTTCACATCCAAAGGTTTATTTACTTGCCAGAAATGCAAAGTGATATGGAATGGAAAGAGAACCCTGGTTAGTGAAGTCTAAAGCTGATATTGCAGACATCACAAAATGCAGAGATAAAGTCAAAATGTTTTTGGTTAATAAACCAAGAACTCCTCTAGGTAACTTTCTCTTTTTTTTCCTATTATTTTTAATTTTGTTCCTGATTTATATTTTGGGTTTTTTGTATAACAGAAACAATGCTTTAAACTGTGTGTCTGATTTATTTCACTTAATATCATGGCCTCAAGGTGCATCCATTTTCTTACAAATGACTCAAACTTATCTTTTATAGCAAAGTGCTGCTCTATTGTATATAAATGCCACATCTGTTGATGGGCATTGATAGCTGCTTCCAAGATCTAACTTTTGTGAATTGTGCTGCTATGAATATGGGTATGCATGTATCACAGTAATGTGATGTCTTAAGCCCTTTGAGAAGCTGCCTTAGAAGGGCAATAGGTAGGTCAAATAGAAGTTCTAGTTTCAATTTTTTGAGGAATTTCCATACTTATTTGCATACTGCTTGCACTAGTTTATACTTTCACCAACAATGTAGAAGGGTTGTTTTTCCCCTGCACCCTCACCACTGTTTGTTATTATTTGATTTCTTGATGATAGCCATTCTTTCTGGAGTAAGATGATATTGTGTAGTTTTAATTGGCATTTCTTTATTGGCCAGTGATGTTGAATGTTTTTTCATGTATTTCTTGGCCATTTGGACTTCTGAGAAGTGTATTCATTTTTCCCATTGATTGGGTCTTTTGGGTGTCTAATTTTTAAAATTTTTTTATATATTCTAGGTATTAGTCTTCTAATGAATAGCTGGCTGATTGTGTTCCCCATTCTGTAGGTTGTCTTATCACTTTGTTGGTAGTTCGTTTTGCTGTGCTGGACATTTTAAATTTGATATGATCCTATTGGTTGACCCTTGGTATTATTTCTTGTGCAGTTGGGGTTCTGTTCCAAAAGTCCTCACCTATGTCTGTGTCTTCAAGAATTTTACCTATTTTGTCTTCCAGTGAGTTGTTTCTGTTTTAATATTTAAACCTTTGATCCATTTGTAGTTTTGTTCAGTACATGGTGAGAGAGGTGGGTCTAGGTTCAAGCTTCTGCATGTGGACAGCTGGTTTTCCTGGTACCATCTGTTAAGTAGGCTATTGCTCCTCCAGCATAAGTTTTTGGCTCCCTTGTCAAAGATCAGGTAGCTAAATGTGCCTGGAGAAGCTTAAAGTGTGAATAAGGACCAAAATGTTTAATAGGAATTGTGAAATAGGAAGAAAATGTTCAAATGAGGAGGGGAACAAGCTGAGGGGGGAGGGGAAAAGGAAAGAAGGGAAAAGTTAAAAAAAAAAAGCATGAGAAAGATTTCTTAGAGGTAGAAATAGAATCACTCAAGAGCAGAGTGCAGGTGCTGAAGTACTGATCACAGGTGTCTTGTGTCTTTGACTTCTCTGATCCTGTAGAGTCTCAAAAGGAGCAGGATTCTTGAGCAAAGAACCCAAGGAAAATGTCCTTGTAATCTGACAACTGTGGGTGTGCTTAAAAGAACTTGGTAGGGACCCTTCCATTTAGGGAGGAGCTGATCTAAAGGTAACTCCTTTTCCCAAACTTTAGGTAACACATGATCTCTGGGTTGAGTTTTAGGGGATATGAGTTTCAAAGTCTGGTGCTCAAAGGACTTTAGTGGCATATTCTAGTAAAGACTTTTGTACCTGACCTATGTTGATGATGAATTTAATCATTTCCTGTGTCTTAGGGTTGGTGAGTAGAGCTGAAGGCAGAAATGGCCTCCCAATGGGTATTTCAAAAGGGCTTAGCTGGAGAGAGGCTTTAGAAACATTTATAATCCACAGTAGAGCAATAGATAGCAGTTTTAGCCAAGACTCTGAGGTTTCTTGGCATAGTTTTGCCAGGGTGGTTTTAATATGTAAGTTAGCCCTTTTGACCTTTCCTAATGCCTGGAGATGCCAAGAGATATGAAGATAATAAGCTACTTCTAAGACTTGTGAAACTTCTTGTGTCATTC